AGAATAGGTTCAGGTTAGAGATTAGGAGGCACTATTTCACTGTTAGGGTGGCTAGGATCTGGAACCAACTTCTTAGGGAAGTGGTCCTCGCTCCTACCTTGGGTAAATTCAAAAAGAGGTTGGAAGAACACCTGTCTGGGGTCATGTGATCCCAGCGCGTGCTCCTGCCAGTGGCGGGGGGTCAGACTACATGATCTATTCAGGTCCCTTCTGACCCCAAACTACTATGAAATTAGGCAAAGGGGAAACCCCTGTGTGTAGCTGGGGAGCCACATGAGCAAAAAGGATGGGAATTAGAAGGACACAAGCCTAGGGCTTGTGGCAAAGGGGGGCAGGCTGGCCTTGTGGACTGTAAGCAGCAGAGTTCAGGGGAAGAGAGGGGCCTGACCTGCCAGGGAAGAAGGGCTCAAGACTGCAGGGAAGCTGGAAGGAAGCCCCTGAACTACCAGGCAGAAGATAAATATTTGGGGCCTGGCACTGTAGCTTGTTGCCACAATGTGGTATTGATCCAAGGTTGGAAGGAACCTTTGTTTGAGAACAGGTGCTCATATTGTTGTGCTTGTGTTTAAATACTGGAGGACTGGATTGTGCCTGTGTGGGTGGAGGAGACTACCAAGAAGTATGCCAAGGGAACTCTGGGCCCTACACCCTTCCAAAGGGGAGCACTGCTGTTAATGGAAAGACTGTGGTGGCACACAACAAAGACTGGGGCTGAGGGGCCAGAGCCTGCAATGGGCAAGAGCAAGTGGCCACCAGAGGATGACTTTGCCACCCCAGCAGCAGACTTGCTACAAGAGTCACAGCTTTCATTAGATAATGGTGCCACAATTCCTTCTTTGAAGTCCCCTAAGTACCAAATCCTCTGTCCATTTTCATCTGTTCTAAGTGAGTATGGAGTGCTACTAAATCAGAATGGTATAGCTTTGCCATCCCTTTTGGTACTGCTGTAAATTACACCAAATGGTATAAAAGGTTCTGTGACCCTGACTCATCATGCATAAGCATTTCACTTGGAAGCAAGCAGCAGCTGAACAAAGGTCTTCTGAAAAAGAATCAGGAAGTGAAAATGTTTAGAAATCAGTTTTCTGTAAAACTGAAGCTAGCTGATCTATTTTAACATTCAAGCTAAATAACCCCATAGCAAATAAGCAGGTTCAGTGCTGAAAGGTAAATGAAATGCATGATACATTTTCAGTTCAAGTCATCTGAGGCTTTGTTTTGGTAGCTTGATGGTCCCCTTGCTCTTCTCTCCAATTCTTTTAAAGGTACCCAAGTAGGGCTCTCACCTGGGGGCTTGATTTGAAGGCAAAATTATTAGGGGTGTGCAAAAGAGGCCCTATTCAATTCTGCGTGCTCAGCAGTGAACCCAGAAGTGGACCGGAAATACTTCCGGTCCACTTCCAGGTCTACCGGAGAGCATACAGGGCCTCCCCACCCCTGCGCCTCCCTGGCTCGGCAATCAGCCACAGGGAGACCCTGAGACCCAGGAGGTACCAGTCACTGAGTTGGGGGGTTATGGGGGGGCCCCTGGGTGCACGCCCCGGTGGACGCAGAAGCAGACCGGAAGTGCTTCTGGTCCACTTCTGTGTCTGCTGCCGAGCGTGCTGGGGAGCCCCCTGTACTTCCATGTGCCCCAGCATTACAGCATTCATGAGTCCCTGCTACCTAGAGGTATGTAGAAAAAACATTTAAAGCTGTCTCTATGTCTGAATTGCTGAATCTTTTTGAATCTCTCTGAATCAATTCAGAGGGTTCCGATTCAATTCAGAGAGATTAAAGGGTCCTCTGATTCGATTCAGATTCAGAGATTTGGCCACTGAATTGGGCCGAATCTCTGTTGAATTGAATCAGGGACTGAAGCTTCACATAGCCCTACAAATTACTACTGGTGGCATGTGGGTAGATAGGTAGTCTTGAGTGTAAAGGGAATTTTGGCTAAAATGTTAATACAGATTTGAAGCAAGAAGCAAGGTGGTTGAAACTAGGTTTTCATTTCCTCATTTATTATGTCAAGGTAAACAGTGGGCTTCATCAAAGATTTGCTTGGCTGGAGGAATCTAAATGCTTCTTGGATCTGGTCAATAATTTTGACCATCTTAGAACTCTCACTAGGAAATCAGAGCCCTCCTTTCATAAAGTCTCTTGCCCAAAAGGAAATGTCACCATTAAGACTTACTCCGGGGAACCACAACTGAGGGGAATATTTGAAAATAAGGAAAATGGCGCCAAGAAATGCAGGCAGACCAAGAAGTGTAAACCAGCCCAAAGCTGAGGACTGATTGGGAGAATCATTGACAACTCGTGTCCTCAGAGGTGTCAGTACCCGCTGCCACTGAGTCAGGATGGCATTTCTGGCTCCTCCCCATTTTCCTGGTCCTACTAGACGGTATTGGTAGGGTGTGCATGGGCCAAAGAAGACCTCCAGAGCCAGCTTTGGATCCATCAGGAACAGCAGCAGTACGTTGGGCTTTACACCAATACATGATGCAATTTCATCCATGTAAACAATAAAACTTGATCTTATATTGTTGTAATCTCTGGAAAAACCCCTTGATTAGGAAACAAGAGCAAAGAAATAAAAGAATATTCCTATATTGTTATTAGCGCATCATCTTTCCACATAAAGATAAAATATACCATTGAAATATTCTGATTCATTTGAAGCTCCAAGCTGGAGCAAATACTCAAAAGGGCAAACTAGAAAGTAGCCTACACTGAGAAACAGCTCCTAAAATATTATAAAACCACATTTAAAACCAAATTTATGGTCTTCACCAAAATGAATTGGAGAAACAAGAAGCAGATACAGCTTAAGATAGACACTAGGGGAAAAAAATATAATACAAAATTTAGAGGTCCCCCCCATCTTTCTCAACTATATAGGTAATCCAATAAAAGTACTGCCAAACAAATCTTGCTTTACATATGTTCCTTGGATCATTACAGCTACAATATAATAAGATTAATTAACTGAGTTTTAGCCATGTTATCTCTAATAATTTTGGCTACTTCATCATCTCTAATAAGGTGCAGCAAACATACAACAGATTGAGAAAAGGTGAATGAATATGGTGAGGCACAGGAAGTCCCCCACAGGAGAGGAGATTTTGAAAAATTATGGGTCCATGACCACATCCCTTTGGTGGCCTGTAGTCATTCAGTGATCAAGCAGTATACAAAAATCCTTTTTATCCTCTGATGTTTTCAGCAGATGAGCTATTAGCTCCTAGCTGAAGTTTTTCCCAATCACGCAATGTTCCATTTTGTACTATTTCATTTCATCCAATTTTTCTTTGGTTCTCAAGGTCATCATGCTGACCCTCCTCTCAAATGATGACACCTCTCATCTTTGTGCCATTAGCAACCTCTCATTTTTTTGTGCCAGGATAATTTATGAAAATATTTAACAAGATGAGTCCCAGAACTGATCCTCAAGGCACTCCACTAGTAAACTGCCTCCAGCCTGGTAGTTCCTACTGACCTCTCATTTAGCAGGTTCCTTAGCCTTAGTCCTTGTGTTCCCTAGCTTCATTGATAATTTCCCATGTGTCACCATAGCACTTGCCTTACTGAAGTCCAGGTAGATTAGACATACCGCTCTTATGACAGATAGCTATCAGATTAGCTTGGTATGCTGTCCTTTGGCAAACCTATTTTGCATGTTAGCCCCATTATTCATGTACCTCCATATTTATAATTATCCTTTCCTTCAGTTATCTAGACCCAGCTCTGTGTCCCCCATTGCCTTGCCCCCCCACCCCCACGACCTCACCAAAGGGAAATGTGGCAGCCAGTAAAGGGGAGTGTGGCAGGGCACTGTTGATGCCTGCCACTTTAAGAGTTTGAAGCAGCCAGCAGGGCAGCCAGCAGGTGTGTGTGAGAGTAATGAGGCAGTCACAAGACCACAGGAGGGCCTTGGGTTGGAGGAGGGGGAGGAGCAGCTTCCATTTTAGACCCAAGCCCTCAGGGCTGAACCAGCAGTCTGTGCTGGCAGCCAAAAAAAATAAAACGTGGCTGGAGCTGCTGCTCACAACATCATGGCATATGCTTGGATGTATATGAGCTGGAGCTATGGAGAAGGAGGAGGCTCCAGGTCCTGGGTATGACTGAAAACTGCACCCTGTTGGGGCAGGATGGTCTGGTGGGGCTACCTGTGGCAGGGTAGTCCCAAGAAATGCCAGGCCAGTTGCCTCCTCAGTGAAAGGCGAGTAAGGGGCATCATATAACCCCAGCCCCCATGGTCAAGACCCCAGAGCTGAGTTGTTATGGGCAGGGAGCTCAGAACAGAGTTGTTATGGGCTGGGAGCCTGAGATGAGTTGGTATGGGTAGGAAGCCCTGAGCTTAGTAAACACTGAGAGGGCTGAGGCTCAGCTGATATAGCTGAATTGTGAGGAAGAGAAAGCAAGCTACTCAGACCTTACTGTGTGGACCTTGGAACTGGTCAATGCTGAGGCCAGGACCTGGGGGGGAGGGGTCAAAAGAGCTAGGGGCCCACCAGCCAATGGACACTCAGAGCCAGAGGCCTGGGGTCCGACTGGCCTGATGCAGGTGGAGCCAGGGCCTGTGAGGCCAAAGGTCCTAGAAAGGGGGCCACAGCTTGAGAGGGAGAATGGTACAAATGAGCTTAGCTGCCTGGGATGCAATCTGCGAGGCATGGAACACAGTAAGGGAAGGTTGGAGCTGTATATAATGCCTTTAGCATCAGGCAAGTAAATGGGCAGCCTCCTGCCTGGTTAACATCCTAATTATTATCACCAAGGCATGACAGGTGAGGATGGTGGGTGGTTAGCCCACAGACAGGCTGGCGGGCCAATAACTGACCAGCTCCAGGAAGGCCCCCTGTTACAGGAAGACAACTGTTGAGGTCTTGGGTTCTGCAGGTCAGAGATTAGAGTTTTTATTGAACAGAAAAATAATTTAAAAACTTCTTTATAGATCATTTCAAGTGTATGGACAGTTCTGCACTTTGTGGCTCTCTCTGGAACCACTCAAGGTCTTCTCTTATATTTTCTCTGCTACTTCCCCTAGGAGGTATAGTTCACACCATCTGCAGCTTCTCTGTCTAGAGGAAAGGTGCATAAGAGCTGAGGTGTTTTTTCCTACAGTTCTGCCATGGTCATCCAAGGACACTCCTCTGGAACTAAACTAGTTTCAGCTGATGAAACCCTCCTGAACTAACACAGGGTTAATAAATGGACCTGGTAGTTACCAGATAGCCCCTTCTGCCAGTATCTTCTCACTTGCAATACTGGTCTGTTTGGCTTTAACAGATACTAATGTAAAATGGTGCTCTGTTCTAGTATAGGTCTCACCAGAAAAGCTTGAAACCAGAACTCTTCTAGCTTTGCAGTCCGGGGCTGACACTGCTGTTTTGAACTTTCCCATGCAGGAAAAGTAAAGGCCATTTTGTATCTGGCCACAAGATGGTGCCACTGTCCTGGAGGAAAAGTAACTTGATTCAGCATTTTTTGTTGCATGAAAGAAACACAGTGAAATCCCAGCAGGTGCACAGCTCTGCTTTTGTTCTGCTACAGCTAAAGACTCAGCCTGGATTTTGCACAGAGGTTTGTGATCCTTTTGAGTAAGCCTGGGGCTGTTGTACCTAACCAGTGCCATTTCTCTGTGGTTTTGAAGCTGTGTGAAACCCTATTTGTTTCAGCTGTGTTTCTAAGCAAAGCTCGAGGAAGGTAAAAACCCACAAAAATGAAACCAAATAAATGTTTTAAAAGCCCCCCAGCAAACCCGCCCCCTGGATTCAGCACAACTCTGTCTGGGAATATTGGTGAGTGACATTCTATGATCTCCAGTTGTACATTGCTGTATTACGGCAGGCTTTTTTTCTGCCTCTCTGAAACTGCTGTTTGATTCCGTTGCTGAATAAGCTAAAACTCAAACTGATACAGGGAAAAGGGAAAAAATGGAGCAAAAAGGGTTTTGTTTAATCTAGCTACTGAGTTATTGTGATGAATGCTGCCACAACATTATGGATCTTAAGGTAGTGTCAAATGTTCAACTTAACACCTATTAAATGCAGTTAAAATGTGATCAAACACATGTTACTTCCTTTCAGGTGAGGATTATCTCAAGACTGTATCAAGTCATATGTTTCCTGATGCATACTAACATTAATACTTCACATTATTCCAATGATTTGAGACTGCTGCAAGTGAACATGTTACTAGACCCCTAGTTGAGGTTTTGGGAGATCTGACTTCAAGACAAAGTTCCTAGGTCACCTTGGAAAGTCACACAGCTGCCTAATGTCTCCATCTCCCATCTGTAAAACAGCACTTCCTTGCTCCACAGGGGCAACTTGGCGATAGATGCATTAAAAGATTGCAAGGTGCTGAGGTTCTGGAACAGTAGGGTCCCTTAGAGGTACTTAAGCCTGATAGAATTATTCTTAGGAGCTTCCTTTCCCCATTCAGCATCGATACTATGGAGGGAGCATCACAGCCATAACATGAAAAATAATAGGTAACATTTCATACCGTTTCATTAAAAGTTCCTTTTCCTTGGAAACTTCAGTCATCATTCTGCTGACTTGAGGGAGCTTATTTGACCCTAAAAACAAAAGAGAATCCAGGGAATGTAACATCACTTGGAAGGGAAGGCAGCTTTCTCTCAGTCCTCAAACCACGTGGCGCGCTAAGCTCCTTCCTCAATGACTTATGAGCTGAGATATAGTCAGCGCAAGCTGGGCTTGCTACAAAGAGTCAGCCTCAGCTGGGGGTCAAGAAGCACAGGTTCATTAAAATCCAGAGCTAGGAGAATCTTCATCAACTGGCTTTAAGTTATGAAACCACTTGTTTCCCACTGGAGCTAATGTGATCTTTTTTATGAGGAATTATACTCTACAAGTGCCATATTGTGGGACTTGAGTTCTTTGAAAGTATGGGACAGGTCCTTTTGGCCCCACTCTGCACAGATGTACACAGTCAAATAAGACAGCCAAGAAATCTACCCTGTGCCAGAAGGCCAGATTTTGATCATACTTCGCCTGTACTGGCCTGAAATATTCAGTGATGTTAAAGAGAGTTTTGCTCAAGTAAGGACACTTGCATGCATCCCCTACGAGTTGCCGGTGTTGTACAGTCCAGGTCTAGAGTATGCCCTTCTATCCATGAGTGGATTCTGGCACTAATGCCACAGGACAGTATAGAATTTCATATAAGAACATAAGAAGTACCATACTGGGTCAGACCAGTGGTCCATCTCACTCAGTATTCTGTCTCCAACAGTGGCAGGGGGGATGCTATAAAGGGAGAACATTGAATTAGATATCTCATTCCAGCCATTATTCTACACCCTCAGTCTCTCCTAGTATGGCAGCTGCTCCGGGCCCCTGATCATTTTGGCTGTCTTTCTCTGTACATTTTCTAATTCTACTATATTCTTTTTCAGATATGGGCCAGAACTGCGCATAGTATTCAAGATGTGGGCACACCATGGTTTTCTATAGTGTCATGATGATGTTCTCTGTTTTGTTTCCAATTCTTTCTCAATTATGTCCAACATTTTATTGGCTTTTTTGGTCACTGCTACAAATTGAGCTGACATTTTTAAAGGTCAACACATTGGATATTTTTGTTCATACGTTGGTCTCCCTACCTTTAAAAACTCTTGTGACCCAGCGAGCCTGGAGTTCTGTTCCTACCATGATGGAGCCTGTTAGCTGTATAAAGCCAAGGACAGCCAGTGTTGGCTTCTCCAGTTGGGGTGGGAAGACATATTTGTAAAGGGAGGTCTTGCTTTTGCAGACATTATGAACTGACTCTTCAAGGAAAGGAAAAGAGACAGTGAATCCTGTGGCAAAGACCACCACATCTATGTTGTCCATGACAGTCCCATCTTCAAAGATAGCCGAGGCTTCAGTAAACTCCTTCACATTTGGTTTTACCATGACAGCACCACAGAGAATGCAGCTTGGCAGCTCATCATTCACAATCAAATGTAGCTCTTGACTTGCATGCAGAAAGAAGGGAAAGAGTTTGAACATAATGTTAGTTACCTCCTGGTGCAAAAAAGTAAAGCAGTGCTGAAAATGTGGTTACCTTACAATGAAACACTAATGGTGGGGAAGCAGACATGGGACTATTAGTGTTTTTAGCTGTGAAGTATGTAAATGGGCAAATATGCATTCTGTGGATAACAATAAGACAAAAGAATCTAGATTGTTTATTCAGTGTTTGCTGGGACTGGCTTTTATGGGCTGCATTGTATCTTGCACCAAGAAATGTTTTACGTTCAATTGGGTGAGAAATTGTAAAGGAGTTGACACAGGTTCCTGACTCTCAGCCTAAGACCTGCTTTCATTTATGGCAGCTTGCTATGGTCTCTGTAGAAGCATGCTCCAGTAGGGATGAGACAAGTAGAGCAAGTGATTCTCACACAGGTGGGTATGGGTCAGGCATAGGTCAGGTGGTCAATGAAAAAAAACAGCCCTGGGGCTTTATATGCACCTATACCCTCCTGGGGGAATGCTACAGTGGCCAGACTCCATCTTCTGTATATTACATAGACTTAACAGCAAGTAGCCTTACAATGGTGCTTGTCATGTGGATAGCTTTTCACTTGAAGAACGATCAAAGCCAGAAATTAATTTCCTGTAGACCACCACACAGCACTGAAGATGTAATGAAGTGAAGTTACTGTCCTTCATATAGGCTGAATCTGATACAGTGGCCTAGATGCTAAAAGTGTCTTTATCAGTGTAATGGGGCCCCTATCCCTTCACTGAAACAGAGAGCGAGCCAGGGAGCAGCTGGCTGGTTCTGGCCCCTGGGTGTAAATAATAGTGGCAGAGGGCCCTTTGGTGAAATGGCTGCCTGCCCCAGGTGCAGCCAGCACAGTGTGGCCAGTGACTGACAGGCCTGGGGCAAAAGTACTAGGGGTGTAAGATGCCTTATAAAACCAGGACTGTGGCTGAGGCCTGGGGAGAGGGGGGGCCTGACCAGCCAAGAAGGAAAGACTCTACATTGTGGGGAGCTGCAAGGAACTCCCTGTGCCAAGGCAGCAGAGCTAAATATTTTGGCCTTACATTGCAGCTCATTACCACAGTGTGATATTGACCTAGAGTTGAGGTGGGGGATGGGACCTTTTGTTTTGGAGTGGAGGCTCATTTTTTGTTGTGTTGAAGTTTGATCTGGAAAACTGGGTTGAGGCTGTAGGGGGGGAGAAGACCACCAAGAAGGGTGCTAGAAGCACCCTGGGTCCTAAATACTTCAAAGGGAGGGCAAGCAGCATAAGTGGGCTAAGACCAAGATGGCACAGGCCCAGTTGTGAACCCCAAGAAGCGTGGAAGCTGCAAGCAGTGGCTGGGTGGAGCGCTTCTCTCGGCTGCAGCCAGCCCAGGACTGTAGTTTGTGGCAGAAAGACTGATGGCACAAGTCCAGAGCCCACAAAGGGTAAGACCAGGACTGAGGGGCCCGGAGCCCACAAAGGGCAAGGCTGGAGTTGGGGCCTGGGAGTCTAGGGTCCTGGAACAGTCAACCTCAGATGGAGGGACCCAGCCAGAGTAGTGGGCCAATGCTAGGGGGCCTCAGCCCAGACAAGGCTCTAGGACCTGAAGTAAACCCCCCTGACCTCTAGGGGCAGCCTGCCAGTCCAATTATAACATCAAGATGTGGCAGAAAAGGCAACAAGGAGAGACCTTGAGAGGCCAGAGGTGTGAGCAAGTCAGGTGGCCACTAGGGGGTGACTTGGCCACCCCAGAGCATGACCTACTATAATCAGGTTTTCAAGCTATCCAGTCTCCTGCCTGTCATAGCTTACTGTTCTTGATCTTCAAAATATAGATCCTGATGGGATTTCTATTATGTTGTTCTTCCAAAGGAGCTGTCATCAGATTTACAAGTAAGAATCAATTTGCATGAACATTTATCATGGGAATAAATAGGAAAATTTGCCGCTGCTGGAAAGTGTGTTAAATACCAAAGCACAATTTCTGTAAGAAAGGTGATGTAGGCTTTTGATACTCAATAATCATTTCCAAAATGAAATAGGAGATGTATACCCTCACCACCTCAAAACCCCCACCCCAAAACCAATCAATCTATTAAAAAAAAAAGAAACAAAAATATCTCCCAACCCCCTCAAACAAATAAACAAATAATAACCATTAAGAAAGCACCTTTTTTTCTGAAGCAAGCTATAGTTTTCATGGTTAAACCATGTGCTGAATTTCTTTCTCCTGATCCTGCTCCCGAGGGCTGATGGGAGCAACCATTCAACACAGTTGGCAAAGCGCGTGGTGAATACCATGTCAAGAGGGAAGCCCTGGTTTGAAACACGACTAATCACCCATGTGCCACTTCTGGTGCTGAGAAACACCTGCAAAATAATTAAGGATTGGGAAGTCTCTTGCTCCGGGATCTGGTTTCTTTCTTGTTTCTACTGTCAACTTGCTGCTTTGACATAAAGAGATCTTTTGTGTGGAGATAGTAGAGAATTAATCTGAATATCAAAGAACGTGGTTGGGATAAGAAAGCAGTGTCCAGATGAACAGTTTGGTTGAGGAGGTCTCTTTAACTTCCAGTATATGCAAACCCACTATTTAATCTGCTAAACTGATTTGCACAACTGTGCCTTGACTTGAGGCACTGCATACTTTACAGATTCTGGGTAATACCCAACCTTGACATATCTTAATTTACTGGTTTGTTTAACCCCATTATACCCTCCAGCATCCCTCCTCAGGCATGTTTCCTGCAAAGTAAATACCTGAGTAATGGGGTTATTTGTGGGCCACAAGATACCAGATATAACTGGTATGTGAACACTATGATGACACCATGCCTGCTTAAAGAATGCATATGCCTGAACTCTTGTAACACCACATAATTATACCTGAGCAGCCACACGACTGAGCTCCACAGCAATATCCCCTCCAGAATTCCCAGTACCGACCACAAGGATTCTTTTCTCTTTGAAATCATCCGAGTCTTTGTACTCCCAGCTGTGGAGGCACTGGCCTTTAAAGCGATTTCTTATTCCTTGAAGAAAAAAACCAACAGGGGACACCTCCTGTCACTAGAGGCATATATTTGTTCAACTGAAACAATTCTATTGACAGCGTTGTTACTGATCCTTCATTTCCTTTGAGTCCCTCTAGTCTTTCTCTTTTGTGAATAGTCATTCTTCAGACAGTACAGTCAGGCTGTGAGCTGTCAGTACAAGTGCACTTGAAGTCAATGGAAGTCTTTCCATTCACTTGACTGTGTGATGCATCACACCCCACATACACTGAAAGGGTCAAATACCCTGTCCTACTGGCCCCATTGTGGTTGATGCTTTTAAAATCTCATGCTACTTAATATTACATACTTAATTTGCAGCTTTTCTAACATATTTAATTTTTACTTAGGTTTGTTTCTTGCTGAGAAGCTTCAGGTCTGACCTGGGAGTTGGTGGAGATACTGGAATTATATACAACTTAAAAGGCAAATAACAACAGTGAATCACCCTAGCTCATATATTAGTGCTTTCCATCTTCATTTTCCACAGTCTTTTTTTGGTGTAAATCAGCATCACTCCATTGAATTTAATAGATATGCTGCTTTACAACAGCTGAAAATCTGGATCTTTAAATTTTCAACTTTATAAAAATGTAGTCAGTTGCTTTTTACAACCATAACAGCATTTTAGGCATTAAGACAGTGCCCCCCCAACTTCACTAGATCATTGCCAACAATACTCAGCACGTAATATCATTCTTTACTTTCCCTGTTCACCAGAAGAAAACTATACCCATGGGAAGCAAAATTTAACTTTGGCCATAAGATATGGACTGGGGACCATAAAGACATCCAACAGGAGAGCTATGAGGGTAGAGGGTGGCACCCCAAAGTGACACCAGGCATTCAAGATGGAAAGGGACTCATAGGGAATGAGTTATTTTTTTGTGAGTTGCAAAGCCTTATCCTTTTCTTCAGTAGACCTGAAAAGCTTCATCTTGGCCCTACCTCACTATGTCATACTGGTGACTTCTCAGGCATTTTGTATCAGTTTGTGTTTTTCCCCCCCCACATTGCATACATCACCATCACAATTATGGCTCACCATAGTGTCTGTTGGAAGTATAATTAGTAAGTAGGAAATACGCATTAGGAAAGGAAAAGCTGAAGGACCTTGGGAATAAAGTATCGCTTTACTTATAATGACCGTCTTCAGTGAGCAGTATGAAGAACTCACCAGTGCATAGTAGGGAAGTCCATATATTGCAGTATTCCAATCCCACAGATGAAATTATTTTATTGACTAATGATGTGCAAGGATGAATTTCAGAGCACTCTGACCAGAGCTGAATTTCTCCCTATATTTTATATGGTTATACATAATATGCTGAGCTGGAAATGCAGGACTTACCAGGAAAAGAATCCAGTGGCAAATGTGGCTCTGTATAATGACCAGTGCAAACCATAACAGCATCAAAGATGGAGGACTTCTGTTCCCCATTTGCCTCAGTGACAATTTCCCACTGGCCACTGGCAGAGAAATCTGGGCATTTCCTTACGCTGTGAACCGTGGTCTTATTTTAAACCACAAGAAAGAAACACCATTATGGACTATTCTATTATTTAAAAAAAAAACTTGTTCCTGTGAACCTTTTGATTTGTAGTGCTTGTGATCTGTGGTATACTCAGAGGGGCAAACAATTATTTAACCTGTAAATATGCTATACCAGATAAGAATCTCCAGCTTTGGCTGCTTTGCAATCAGGAAATAATGCCAGGAGGCTGAGAAGCTCCCTCAATAAGGTAAGCTAGGTTATGTGCTGAGAGTGTGGCGTATTGTCAACCAGCATAAGTTAGAGCAGTCCCAAGCCTCTTTAATTTGCTGCAGGGGGTGACGACTATTTCTAGCATACCTATGGGAGTACAAAGATAACATTAAGCTTTGTTCCCATTCTTTTGGGTTTTGCATCAAATGTAGCATAGGCCACGTGTGACCAACCTGTGGCATGTGTGCCACAAATCACATGGGCAGCCCCTGTTTGTGGCACATGGCAGATTGGGGGGCTTAATCTGTGGCATGCCTGCCAAAAAGGTTGGCCACCATTGGCTTAGACTATGGTTATACAGTTTACTCTAGGGTAAAAAGGGCCAGGACTTTATCTCACTTCTGCTGCTCTGTGGAAATTTCCTGAGTATTTGCTCTTCTTTTGTGAAAAATGAAAGCTAAGTTATGGTAGCCAGTAGTGAAGGAAAGGCACATTACTACAGTATAGCTTCCACTTACAATAGTGTGAAGTGTGTACATGCAGGCAGCCATCAGAGAGCAGCTGATGTACCATAAAGCCCTGACCCGCTTTGCTCCACACTTAACTGTTCATCTCTTCATGCCCTTAGTCACATCTGAGGTTTTGGCCTGTTAACTGCAGCTATCAGTTACTTTTTTCATTGTTTCTTTTTACTGACTGCCCTAAAGCAGATACACACAAAACTTCAACTTTCTTCTTACCTTAAAGTGTATATACTTGAGAAGGTCAAAGTGCTCAGCATACATTCGAAAGTAATCCAAGAGCCTGGAGTGGTGTAGATAGTTGGGGAAATTCTCTGGGAAGGGGAAATCACTGAAACAGGACATTTCCTTGGAGGTGTTTGTTATCACAGATCTATAGACACTGATCCTCCCAGATTTCGTTGTTTCCTGCATAAAATACACAAGGATATTTTCAAAAAGTGACTGAAGTTGAAGAATTTGCTTGACCTGAGTTATCAAAGCAGAGTTAAAATGGCCTAGCTGCAAAACTCATATGCAGAATAGACACATTTCCACTTCCTTCCTGTCTGAGATCTTGTTATTTCAGATTAAGGTAGGGTGTGAATCTAAGTTACTATAGCTATTCTGGAATAACTCCCTTTGGGGCTGCTTTTATTCCATAGTAAGTGTGTACTATACAAGCTATTTTGGAATAGTTATCACAGAGCAGCTTATTCTACAGTACCTATTCCAGCCAATTTCCTTATGTAGACAAATCTTCAGTCACCTTCACTCTGTTAATGGAGGAGTGGAGACACCTGGATTCCAGAGCTCTTGTGCATGCACTGATTTCATATGGGGTGAATAGCTATGGAAATTCTAAAGATCTCTATCTTCTCATCCCCATGAAGTCAAAGAAGCCCACTGAATCCAATGCACCATCTGTCCCTAGGACTATGGCTACAATTTCTTCTACACTTCAGATATAAATTATGCCAACATTCAGGGCAATATGGAGCCAGATCCAAAATGAAAGCAGTCTTAAAAGTCACTAGATAAGCAAATCTCACTCACTGAGAACTTCCAGAGTCCCCCGATGTCATCGCTTCTCTCAAAGCAGGTGGGTTTTAGCCCCTCATCCAGACAGCACTTAATGGAGGCCAGTCCGCTGACACCAGCTCCAATGATTGCAACTCTCTGTACCATGGTTTCCTTTATCAAGACAGAGTCAGATAGGTCCCAGAATTAACCTCTCAAGCACTTTGGTACATGTCTTGTAAGAGCTTATGCTGAAATGTAATAACACAGCCCAGAAACAAGGGCCTGGCATTTAGGTGACCCAATGAACTGTCAGTTAAAGTTGATATTTTTATTGCTGTACTTAACCAATCACTGGTATGGTGCAATAACAGATTCTCCAGGGCAGAATTTCCTAATCATGGGCACACCTGCATGGATTTTTCCAGACAGGTATAATATTTTAGGAATGAGTGAAAATGCCTGTTCTACTTTTCATCAGTGATCTCAATGCCAGGCACTTGTACCTTTCCAAACTTCAAAGTATTCAGGCCTGGTTGGCTTAATATTATATTCTTCAAAACAAATATAGGCACTATGACAAACTAGGATTTCTTGCCCCACTAAATTCAATGAAAAAACTCCTAGTGATTTTACTGGGGTCAGCATTTTGCCCGTGTGTTTAGGATGGTGCTGTCAGAAAACACAGGAAGGGAAAGAATGCCACGATTATCCACCTTTCAGTAAATATTTGAGAGAGAATGCCAGATCTATGAAGCTTGAAGATTTTATCTCCTATTTCCAGTTAACCTAAAAAACAGGGTTTTACCATGAAAGGAACAAGCATGATGACACAGAAAAAAAAAGTCACTCCAACAGGCATAAAAGACATTCTCTCACATAAGAGGGAGAAGTAGCTCTTCAGGGGAGCTGGATTTAGACCTAAGCACTTTTTGAGGCAGGGTTGGGCAAAATACAGCCCAGGGGCCAGATCCAGCTCACCAACTAATTGTATTTGACCTGAGGATGGGCAGCTGGCAACTCATAGGATCTGCCCTGTGGGCAGCCAATAGTTCTGGCTCCAGCCACCATGTGGTGCTGAGTGG